AAAAAAAAAGAAAATCGCACACAAAAAGAAAAATTGCTAAAAACAGCTAAGTTTCCCATAACAAGCAGAACTTGGCTTACTTTTTTCCTATGTAAAGAAATATACATAGATTTAAATCCTAGTCTCACAAACATAAGCCTTTAGGCAAAAATACAAGGATTGCATATGATCCTTCACTGGAAGTGTATACTTTTGAATCTAGGAGCAGACTTAAGATGCAACCTAACACTTTCATGTGGTTTAAAATGAAGTTACTTCATGGGTTTGTTATTTCTTAAATTGTGGCACTATATTCAATACCTTCTTAATCTGACACTTAAACTGTTTACCTGCTTCTTACTAGTTGCCTGCCTACTTCTGAAGAAAATTCAACTACGGAAATTGAAAACCCTGACGTTGCTTTGTATTTGAAAATACAATAGAAGTATTTATCCATCCATAGTTTTCTTGTTGCTCTTAACATTTTCATGCGACCTAGTAAGCACCACAGTGATGCTATAACTCAGCAGGGGCTAACTTTTTTGATGGACATGCCACAAATTAGCCCCATACTTTCCACATATGCTACTCTAACCCCCTTCTCCTGACTGATAAACTGTTCTGGTTTGTTTCCTGTGTCGTGCTGAATACTCATTCTGTTGCTGTTATCTGCCATTGGTCTGTCTGTCTCCTCCCTGACCTGCCATCTGCCACATGCAAGGGCTGCCCAAGCCATGTGTGCTGCAGGGTAGCCACTAGGGCCGTGCGAAGCTTTGGTAGCAGATTCTATTCAGCGGAGATCCATTCCATTCAGCAGCCGAATCTCCAAATTCGAATCAAATTGGGAGACCCATTTAAAGGTCCAAATGAAAATCAGAAGCCTCTGAATGGATTCAGAAAAGATTCAGCGCTGCTTCAGAGATTTGGCTAAACAGGCAGCAGTCCTTGATGCTGGACATAGCTGCCTCTGGTAAGTCTGTTGCGGTGGGTGGAGTGGGGAGGGAAGGGGTATGAGAGGGACAGATCAATACCCCAGAGTAAGGGAGGGATTGGGGCTGGGACCAAGGCTGGGGCAAGTGCTGCCCAGGGAGAGGGTGGGGTGGCTTGTGCCACTGGTCTGGAAGCTGTTTGTGTGGTGGCTTGTTCAGCGGTTCTCATGACAGCTCCCACCACTGGTCCAGGAGGACTTGGGGCAGGGGCATATGCCCCAGGATCTGTGCAGGGTGGACAGGACCAGGGCTGTGCCAGGCAAAAGGCGCTGGGAGCAGGGACTATGCCCTGCCACCACTCGCTCAGTCAGTGCAGGGATGGCATGAGATTGAGCTACCACACTGCCTTTGGACAAGCTGTGCACAGCAGCAGGATTCAGCCTGGCCTCCCCATGCCTCACAGATGAGCAGCAGCTTCACCCTAGTTGGGCAAGCAGCAGCAGGGCATGGGGGGAGGGGGGCATGCGCCACCCAAAAACTTACTACAGCCCCTCCATAGCCCCTGCTCTGCCACCCGCCCTGCCCCAGTCTGGAGGCACACATGCCCCTGCTTCCCCTGCATGCTCTGCTGCTGCTTGCCCAGCCGAGGCGATGCTGCTGCTTGTCTGGAGGGAGCATAAGGGCTCAGTCTCGCACCAGTCGCACACTGGTTGGGCAAGTGGCTGGGGGACATACCCCTGCTCCCAGCACCTTCTGCCTTTTGCCCAGTGCAGCCCCGGCCCTGTCCGCCCCTCACAGACCCTGGGGCACATGCTCCCACCCCATGCCCTCCCGGACCGGTGGTGGGAGCAGACGCAAGAGGTGCTGGACAAGCCTCCACTCAAGCAGCTCCTGGGCCAGTGGCACGCAGCAGCACAAGCTGCCCCACTCCCACCCTGGACAGTGCTTGTCCCAGCCCAGGTCCCAGCCCTCCCTCACTGTGGGGCATTAATCTGCCACCCCCATGCCCCTTCTCTCCCCCTTCTGC